GCTCCTGAAAAATGCCAGCATGAACATGCTCCAACAAGCCTGCATCAGTGACAGTGACAAGTAGCGGTGCTCCAAAAATAAGGAACAAGGAAGCAAAAACTGAAAAACGTATCCCTTTTCTTATGCCTCAGTTCAGGAAACCCATCTGTTCTAATTTGTCTAACTTTCTGCACATTACCCCAAGTCACAGGCCACTTGGTGACTTCATACACCTTCATGGTAATTGTTTCTGCTGTGACTCAAACCTTTCCAGATCCAATCGTCACTTCATTAGTGATACAAAGTAACCTCACTCATAGGTTTCACTGTTTCCCTGAGTGCTTGGCAGGCAACTTGTAGCTAGGTGTGTTTGTGATTCTCAGGAACATTGTGAGCTACTGGAAAGCTTTGGAGGGAAAGGTAATAGCCTTTATCAGCTCATCGTGGCTGACACAGCACATGCAAGGAAGTACCGAACAGCCTTGTGAGCTCATCTCTGTGTGGCACCATACAGTCAGATCAGGCAGCACTTGGTTAACTGAAACACTACTGGATACCTTGCTAGATCTTTGAACCCATTTCTTATTAACAATAATCCGGCTGAGACCTGATGCTGATGTTTACCAAGTTACAGTATAAGAAACACAAAGTAATAGAGAGGTTACTGATCACACTGCTTGCTTTGTGCTTTTATTCCACGTGACTCACAGCATCAAGTTCATACAAAAATACCTTATAATCGTTGCTTTGAATGGCTTCCCCATGAACAAATACAGTAATTGTTTTAGAATTTTAAGTGATCCTAAGGGCAAGGAGACATGGTATATCCAAATGTATAAGACAGGAATGTTTGATTCAATCTTGCTACTCCCTTGGCACTCCTACAAGTTAAAATCTGGAGATCTTTCTGTCTTTAAACTGTGATCTCAGATTCAGGCAGACTGCAGTGACAGATTAGAGGCAATTAGTATTTTGACCTGCCAGGAGACACCTTTAAGATTTCACACCACCACATTTCCTCTTTAAAGTATAATTTTTATAATTCAACACCACTCCGAGAAGGCATCCCTTCAGTTAATACACACATTAGAACAATAAACATGATACGAAACTATTCCAACCAGCCTATAAATCAACACCAATTATAGCAAGTTACAGCGTGGTTCTCCTCTGAGTAAATTATGTGCTAAATGCCTTAAAAATTATTAAATGCTTTCAAAATTTTAAGTGGCTTACTTTGTACCTTTACATTTTTCTAACATGGTGGACCAAATACAGCCATCATGTAAGTACTTGCAAGTGCTGCCATACCTGACACTGCTTTCTCTTGCACCAAGAGTTTGGGCCAGTTATCCCCATACAATACTTTCCCTTAATGAGAAAGACATGTCCCAGATTTCAGATGAAATGAACGAAAGGAAAATTCTCAGCCTTGTTGCCATAGTTACTTGAAACCTACTGTTAAAGAGAGGGGGAAGGGAGGGGGAAGGAGAAAAAAGTAGGAAGAGAGCAGTATCATGGTCAGGGTTAGGCCATGTGATAGAGGCAATGATCTTGGAGGAGCAAGACCTCAGTGATGATGCTCAGAGCAGGTTATCCAGGAAACATTCTGGCTTCTATTGAGTGGATTCTATGGACATTGGTTATTTATGAGTGGTTACCACAGTGACTAAATGCAATGCAGTGGTAGGTATTAGATCTGCAAAAGCAGAAAGGGGTTGGGTGGTTGGTGACTTACTTCTCTGTGATTAATTTAATAAAGAAATTGCCTCATTTTAAACATCAGACTGCTTCCTTTTTCACTTTACAGAGATAGTAAAACTTGCAGCAATGTCTTGTTCAATTAGAATAAATTTTTTAGCCTCTGAGTAAGTTGAGAGTAGAAATTCTCCATCTCTAAAGAGGCAGAACTGCAGATATATTACATCAGGCAGTTTGCACTGTTCTTCCCCAAATGCAGACAGGACCAACATATCTTGTGACACACAGGTTGAAAACCTAAGAGAGCTGGTAACTGTGCTTGTGAGTACTTTATATATTACCATTTTATATTATTGGTCTGTCACATCAGCATGATGAAACAGACTGTACTGATTAAGAGCTTTGTGCTAAGAGATATGAAAGTATCCCTCTAGTAGTTTTTTTGGTACTCGTCTCTATCTCATCTTTTTATTCCTGCTCTTCTTGACTCCTTTCACATTCTTATAACTGGCATAAGCAGTAACACGTGTCTGTACCTGCAGCAGTGTAAAAGAGGTTCATGCACTCTGGAAACACACACGGTTGAAGTAACTACATTTGATAATTTGATGCTCTGTGTATTAGTTGGGCCATAATACAGTTTGTATCAGAGAACCCAGGGAAGGCACTGGAGCAGTTGAATGAGTGTTCTGTCCTAATCTAGGATTCTGTTTTCTAAACACTCTACTTCCATGTCAAAACCTGCCTTGGTCCCAAGGAGAAAACTCTCCCTTTTTTGGTGCCTTCTCTCAGTCTGTAAATTTACTGAGACTTTTTTTCCCCTTTTTCTGCCCACTTCTCTGCAGTGCTGGTGCTGTCCTTGCTCAGATGACACCACTGTGCTTTGTACAGAGAATAAAAGACAACCCTCAATGCTATGGACAACTACATTTTACTAAGAACGTGTTTTCTCCAAGATCTGCCAGTCTGTATTTGTAGTACTGTGGCATACCATACAGAAGTCACAGAAGCAAAATAAAAATACAAAAAAAACCCAAACCAAACCAAAACAAAAAACCCCCACACCAACAAAAAACCAACCAAACAAAAAACCAACCAAACAAACAACAAAAAAAGATATCATACATAACAGCATAAGCTGAAATGACTTTAAAGCGTGAGACTGTTGTGGGAGGTTGAGCAAAATTCATTATCAGTAGGTGTTATTGCACTCATTAAAGAATCCTTTTAAGTAATTTCTTCTCTTCTGACCCCACAATTATAGTTATCGCTTTCTGTCCATTAATTACCATGCTACCACATTTGAATCATAAATCATCAAGCTTCCAGATCAAGGACACTTAAATCTTGCAACAACAGAAGAGGTAGAAGCTACTTGAAAAAGTGAGTCAAGAGATCTCAAGATTAATCTGGGGAAAAAAGGGGGAAGACAGACAGACTGAGAGCCTAGCTGGTACTGTCTCCCACTTGAATCCCTAAAGGTGTTGCATTCCTTACCAGCAGTCTAGCAGCACTTGCCCAGAAAGGTGAGAAATTCTTTTCTGTCTGAAAACATGAAAGAAGACAACAGCTGTCCCTACAGCAGTAGCCACTGCAGCAAGAGAGAAAAGGCCACATGGTTCCCAGTCTTACTGCAGTGGAACAGAAGTAGTACACTCAAGACAGTGCCTGGGATCAGGGCAGCACAGATTTTAAGTGGAAGGACATATCCTACAGCTGAAAGTTGTTTTTACTAAAGCAAGCCATGAAATTAAAACCAAATAGCTATTCCAGAATAACAGCTACTAGCAACAAGCCCTGCAATCTTACAAATCAAATGCAAATTCTAAGTTCTAATTTTGGATTATTACTAATCAGTGAAACTGTCATAGCCCCATTCTTTCATCCAATGCTACCTGAGTGGGATGAGGGAGAAAAAAAAAAGAAGCCATTAACTCCATTAAGGTATTCAGACTCAAGAATATATAATCTCCCCTGTTTCTTTAAAATGTTCCTCTTTTTGGATTATCCAAAGCAGCCCCATCCCAAAATGGCCACATGCCAATGTGTTTCAGTGTTCTGTGCCAGAGGAGGAGGGTGCAGATTAATCACACCATTATTTATTGCAATAATTCCTCATTTCTCCTCCTTAAGGTGTCCCCTTGCTTCCAGCACCATTATTTAAACAAAGAAATGGTATGTGAATGGATTGAAAAATGATGTTTTGAAGGACACATCATAGGCCACTTGATGGCACTCTGCCCATATAAACTGTTTTTGTCACTAGGCAGATTGTCAGTGGAAATTCACCCCAGACCAGATTCCCCATCCCAGACAGGGCTCTGTCCCTTCAAGTCCCATGAAAAATGCTTTGCTGTACCCTTCCCTAAAAAGTTTGTATGGACTGCAGGAAGCATCACTGGTTTAAAATCTGATCAAACCAAGTTAGAGCCCACTTTCCACCTGCAATTCACTCTTGTACTAATCCAGTATGAAATAACTTGAGCCTTGTCACAGTGAACGAATAGGGGGAAGAAAGGAAGGAGAAAGCTGGAAGGAAATACATTAGAAAGTATGGTGCAACTACTAGCAAAATGAGAGAATAAACTCCTGTAAATGGTATTCCCTCCTGTGGAAATTAAGACAATCAGGACCTAATGAACAGTGATCAAAACATCAGGTGAGGCTAGAGTACATCATATAATGCAAGCTTTACCCAAGAGCAGCCCAAGATAACCAGTCATCCTTATCTGCTTGTGTCTCACTACTCACTTACACAGAAGTGTAATGCTGCTTCTATTCCAGGAGATAGGGAGGGAGGGAGGCAGAGAAAATGATACTTTTGTGACAAGCAAGCAGTACTGAAGAGGCAGCTTTTTGCACTAGCTTTTCTAAAGCAAAAAGTAGCAGTCAGTACTAGTTTTACCCATCCAGCAGACATGCCCTATAACCCTCTTTCTTGTATGCCCATTAACAAAGTGTTGCCATGATGCAGCTGAGAACACAGTAGAATTAGACCAAGTGGTAACTGACCATCTTATATTTGCTAGAAGAGAATATGTAATATTGACTTATCTGCATAGTGAGAGCTCTGAATTCAACCCTGCCTATCACAGCAGGAAGTTGTCTCAGCATCAGTCTGAGTCAAGAACCCACACCCTCTTTTCCTTGCAAGGGAAAATAAGCGCTAGGTATTAGGATCCAGAGGATGCTTACCTAAACTCAGTACATATAATTTACTTTTTGAGTCTGTTTTTGCTTCATGCTGTTACAGTAATAAAGTGACACTCCATACTAAAATTTCACTTTAGGATCTGGTATCACAATACGAAAACCAAAACTTTTACAAGTGTTCAAGAGATTTATTGCCATTTGGAACATGTTTATTGTTCAAAAACACTGCACTGAAAAAAATCTGTAACGTACACTCTTACATTCCTTGTCATTTTTATCTTTACAGCAATGTAACTTTCAGGCAGGTCATGCAGAAAAACCCCTCTCACAATGAAGTCAAAAACTACTGAAAGGCACTTTGTGTCCTTCAGATCTTAGACTCCAAACACACTAAGTTTTTGCCTGTGTAAGGATTACATACATCTAGAACAACTCGAACAGTAGGGAAAAAATAAAATCCATTTAGAAATTCTCAAAGAATAGTATCAAACTTTGTTGCCTTCCTTCATTCAGTGCTATGCTGTTGTTTTTCCAAGCCTTCTTTAAATAATGTGAGACTTAAAAATGTATGTTAATAAAGTCTCTTACTCAGACAAGGCATGCAGTAAGGGAAGAGGGATGGCTGGTTGCTTCCAGGCTGCCTATCTACACATTTGTTCTTGTAGATCAGCAAGCCACTGCTCAAGTTAAAAAAAAAAAGAGACAGAATAGGAATGAATGCATTCAAGTTAAATGGCTTTTAAGAATATGTTAATACATAGAACAATGATACCACCTACAGTTCTGTTTACTGACTTCTGTTCATGTTAATTTGAAAACTAGTTTTGTCAAACCATCACGGGCCACTTTTGTAGACTGTTAGAAAAAAAGTTGGTTTTCAAATATTACGTGTTATTTGGTTGAGTTGACTTTTTATTAAAAGGGTAGTTATTAAGGATCTGTAAGGCAGCAAAAATTTAAATGTAATGGTTTACATTGCTGAATAGTACTTTTTAAAAGGCAAGATAAAAAAATTAGAAGAATTCTTGGTGGGGTATTCATAATAGGTGTTTCTGTTTTATCCCCACTGTAATTGTCACAGCAACTGTAGATGGCAAGTCTTCCTTGGTTGTAATTCAGGATGAATACATTCCCTGGCTTATTTCAAGTTACATATTTAGTTCTTTTTCTCCAGCCTGCCAAAAGAAGAACAGCTTTTGTAAGAGTGAATACTGAATTACAATGGTTATAAAAAAATAAATCTGAACTTACAGTAAAACTCCATTATGAATGAAGGACGTTGGCCAGTGATTTACACAAAGGCAAGTCCACTTGCAGTTTTGCTTAGTCTCATTCTTTAATTTATAGTTCAGGAGGTTTCATCCTCCCATTGCTCCATATTAATTACTTGGAGCAGAAAAGAGAAAAGTCATAATCCTGACTCATCAGGATTGCTCAGGGCAGTGTCTGCACTATTTGCTATGCGATGAGGGTGTGAGACTGATTGCAGTCTGTTCCCCAGTCACATCAGTTGGATTTACCTCACACATAGAACGGTTTGCTCAGCTTCTCTTTCAGATATACAACTCCTTCACATTTCTATGGATGTTTCCATCTCAGGAATTAGTTACCAAGACTCATCAACACAATGCATGTAACAACCCCCAAAATAGCCAGCATCTGCTGAAAGCCCTGTCTACACCCACCCATGACCATGAGGGCTTCCTGCCTTTTCTATGGGCACACCTCAGACTGTTCAAAGGAGGTGCAAGGTAACAAGTTCAGCCTCCTGACAAGCTTATTAATATGTTTGCAGAAGGTAATGAAGTTAAAACAAGTTCAGAAACCATGCAGAGGTTTGCACCATGGTTAAAAACCACTAACAGGGTATTACAGGAGTCATCAGTTTATGACTTTAAAATGTCAAAGTGTGACTTGCCTGTATTTGATCAGTCGTCCTCCTTGAATAAGTTGTGCGACTTCATTAGTCAAGTGGCATGCAAAAAGAAGCCAGTTCCTTGGCTGCACTTTGTAGGCAAATCTCATGAAAGCTAAAGAGTAACAACACAGTGCTGCAAAAGATAACAGAATTTGTTAATAGATTGTAAATATCTGCATTTTACTGAGGCATAATTTTCCCATTAGTGGAATATACTGACAGGTAGAACATTTCTCGCTGCTTTTAAGTTTTCCAATAGTCCTACAAATATGTCCACTTTGAGGATCCAATGCAAGCAAAGATACAAAAGTGCTTATTTCTCTACAGGGCTACAGCTTCCCAAAAAAATTTATTTTGCTCATACACTATCGTGTGATGAAACTGAAGTCTTTTTAGTTTAATCACCCAATCTATCTCAGCCAGAAAATAAGAGTTAATCCCAATGAGACGTGGCCTGTCCTAGAAATTGTCAGAATACTTGTATAAGACCAAGTATTTTTAAAGATACGATTATTTAAATACAGTTTTTGCTGGCAACATATTAAAATGGACTTTAAGAGAAGGAGGTTTCCATCTCCAGGAAATCATGAACATTCAGAAGTGTGAAGCTTTGTTACCTGCTTTCCAGAAAGGTGAGAAATTATTTTAATCTGTTCTCCTATCATAGTTACATTTAAATACAGCAAATTACAACCCAAGAATTCACTAGTTTTGTGAAGCTCTGACAGGCTTGAATTAAAAAAAGATTATTTGTATACATACCACACTAAATGTACTTGCAAAAATTAAAGTGTCTCAACTTTGCTGAGCTGGGTAGCTGCCACCAAAATGTTATTTGCAAAACAGTTTCACTCTACTGGAGACTATTTAAAGTAGTCTTCTGTCTCAAGGAAGCTGACTAAGAGATTGAATTACTCTAAGCAGAGCCTAACAATGATGAGGCTATAAATTTTCTTAAACCAAAGGTTTTTGCTTGTGGGAAGAAAAATTACTCAGAATGAAGTTATTAAGTTAGTTAAGGAAGAGACATAATGCCAAAGTTAAGCTAATAAATTAAAGCTACCAGATTTCTGATTCTAGAAAAGAATTTGAATATAAAACAGAAACAGCCATCTAGCCAAAAGCTATACATGTTCCAGGGAAAAGCTGAAAAAAAATATTGCTTGGGCATTTAAAAATAATTTCTCATTTAAAAATAATCTCTCATTAAGAGTCACATTAGCCTTTCATAGGCAACTGCTTTGCAAGAAGTTAAGATCTGCTTTGCTGCTTCTTGCACCCTGCTGATCAGGCATTACCATTTCTTTACTTGGTCAGTGTTGGTAAATATTTAAATATTTAAACCAACCACAAAGCATCATTGCTCTTTACACAAAGAATAAAACTGGGTAAAAAGATGCGTTTTAACAAGTGTGTGTACAAGATAACATAAGAATGTACTTTAGAAGACAGTCCGGTGATAAAAACTGCTAGGGCTCAAGATCTGTCTCCCTCTCCCCTCCTGAATAACTTGAAAGCTCTTCGAAAGAGAGCTCTGCAGCTTCTCAGTACCTCAATTCAAGTGGCCTCTGAAGTCATATAACAAGATATTTGATATCTACGTCTGCTTTGATCACAAGTTCGCAGACAACTGATAATATATCACCGCTTGAAAGACAGAAACTGTGTTCTTCAGTCAGTTTACTAACAAGAAGTTTGTCTCCAGTCTTACCAAATGTCATTCGGCCACTAACGATTTCTGGTGATTTCTTCATGTCATTAATAGCAGCAACAGGAAGTCCCCAATTGGCAACTGGCCCCCAAAAGTGCTGTAAAGAGGGGAAACAAAAAAGTTAAACAAAATCAAAGACCTCCGGCAGTATTCTTACAGTTTTCCTTAGCCACACAAAGCTTCAGGGGACAGGGTTACGGATAAAATTTTCACAAAATGACAGGGACTACTTTTGACGTAAGAGAGAAAAACTAAACTCTTCTTTCAGTGGGATCTAGACTTCAGAAAGGAAGGAAAAGGAACCTACTCTGAATATTCTTGCGAACTGGAGAAGAGCTAAGGTCATTGAAATGGAGTTTTGTGTAATTGTAGCTCAGCAGTCATTACACAGTCTGGTTGGCATTGTCATATAATAACCTCAGATTTACAGCTCACTTCTGTGCAGAGACTTAGCATTTATCTCTTTCAAATATGACTCCTCAAAAATATAATGAAGATACAAGGACTTGCTGAAATGAAGAACTGAAACCATTTTCATATTATGATGAGAATGAAGAAATGCTCAGCAAGCATCTTCTTATGAGAGTTAACACCCTCTCTTTGAAAGAGCAGGGCCATGCAACCAAACCAAACTGTTACCCTGAGCTTCATCTGCAATTGCTCAAACAACTTAGTGATTATTAAAACTCAGTGATTTGACACATGTAATAGTAGAGCAGGTAGCTACAGGTGTGTACACCCAGAGAAGAACCAGAGACAAGAAGTGGAAAGAATCAAGTCAGAAAAACAAGAGTTTCATTTGGTGGGTATTATCTAAAAGACTCTGAACTGAGAAAAATAGTGTCATAAGTCCAATTTCCACTACCATTATGAGTAACAAGGCTTCACTAGAATTCTTTCCATGGAAGGTGCACACAGCATTTGCATCAGGTTCTTCTAATGGGAAACTAAGGATTCTCAAGAGTAATTTGGACAGATATGGCAAAAGAGATGCACCTTGCAAGAAAAAGCTTTGTAGATACCAGATGTATCCATTCTTTTGACACTTTCTCTGACTGCAACATGTTTAATGATTTGGAATTGTAAGGGGATATTTAAATTTCTTGCAATTTTAATTACAAGATGCTCTTGCCAGTCTGGATACTGGCTTGTAATACTACAGTAAGATTGAAAGCCACACTTGCTTCCTGCAGATTTGGGTTGCAATACAAGAAAGTTAACTACAAAAAGTATAGAAAAAAGTGGGTTTAAGTTAGACATGCTGTTTTGATAGTTGAACCTTAGCACAATATGCAAAACAATTCAGTATTTCTGCAAGCGTCTGTAGAATATGCAATAGTCCAAACTCAGATTTATAACAACAGTATTCTGAAGAATGCAATAAATGCATTTGTCTACTATGTTCCTACTGATGGGAAAACTGACATCTGTAATGGTTAAAGCCTCTCAAGCACATCAGAGGTAACATGGCATAACTGAGAAGAGTTGTATGGCTACGTGATATTTATCCTGTACAGCCATATGTACCTATAATGACACACACAAGATATGTAGCAACAGAATACAAACATTCACAGAAAATGAAGTCAGTAGGACACAAAATGTTGATTTAGAGGTTTCAGTGTAGCCATTTAAATAGTTTTAAAGGACAAGAGGACCAGAAAACAAACAACTAATCATAACCATGATTATTTGCCCAGTGAGACAGCAGGCCAACTTGTTTTATCAACACCACACTAAAGTAGACTGCAGACTTTAAGTGGCAAGGTACTACATGTACTTGGTGAGGTTTTTATAGACATTTCAGGAGTCTCATTTAAACAACTGTTGTTTTAGAAAATTAAGCTTGATTTTTTTTTTTGAATCTATGAAACATTTACAGCTTTAAGAATCTTAGAGATGACCTCTGTTTTGAAAAGTAAGTAATCTTGGCATTTTTTCTGAATCAATTGCCATTAGAACATAACCAAATAATACGCTGTAAACTATGGACCCCTCAAATCAGGCTGCACAAGCTGAAGAATCATCAGTTCACATCCCAAAAGTGCTGCAGCAGTAGCTGTCCTATGCTGACCAGGGAATTAGATTTGGAACTTTCTCACCTGAGATGGCTCTCTAGTTTTAAGCACTTTTAGGCTGGCACCTCTTTGAAGTTTCCACACACAGAATTAAACTACACCTATACAGTTTGTCATTTGTTTATGTAGAAGAGCAAGTCTTCCATAATATTATGACTCACAGTATAACAGGCATAAAATACCCACTCACAGTTTCAGGAGCAAACTGAAAGGCTCAAGGACAGAAGAGTCTCTAATGAGAGTTATATGTTACATTTATTGTCTGGCATAAAGGTCAATAAAGATAAGCCAGGTAGTTTGGCCATGTACCAGTATTGTTATGTAGAAGAATGAGTTACAGACTGCTCTGATGTCCTTAGCAAAGAGTATTAAAAAAATGAAATTCCTTTAATTGAAGGCATTCTGAAGGAGCTAACATTTGGACACCTTAATCTCAGACTTGCAATTAAATGTTACTAGTGCATCACTCCTGGAGGTTTGTAGGATGCTTTTCAGGTGCAGACAAGGGCTTATCAGTGCTGAGGCAAAAAGACAGCAAGTTACTGAAGTTATGAAGAATGTGGAAACAGAAATCCCCTCCCTTTTCTTACCGTACTGTTCAAGTGCACCATCATTGTTTTCCATTCAAAAAGCACATGGAAAAAAGAAGAAAAAATGTTAGTTTCTTTCATAATCTGCATAGAGAGAAGTGTGCAACAAATAGAAGATAGGAACAAGTCAGGAAGTTGTCATGGCATTAACTTTGATTACTGTATTAGTATTTAAAAAATTCCATTTCCCTCAAGAGCTGTTATTGTGACAAGTGTTTGCTGCACTCTTTTTTCTAGCAACATAAAATCCCATTATAGTCTGTGGAAGACATCCAAGATCTCACCCCAACTAGTTTTAAAGGATGCCAAAGACCATCAAGCTTTGTCATGACAAAGCTAAACAGCTGAAATTCCTCAGTGAAAGCTTTGAAGTCACTTGGAATTCTTTGTATACCTATGTAAGTAGGTCAAACCAAAGATTGCCAGAGATCTTACTGTCACTAGGTTTAGGCCAACTGTGGCTGTACCAAAAATGAGCTATAACACACTTCCACTGATCTAACATGCAATTACACTTTGGTCATGTATAGGGTTTGTTTAAGTGATCTAATTTATGTAATAACAAAGATCTATGCATGGAAGTTGGATTACAGCATATATTTAAGATTGTTTGCTACTCAACCTTTTAAAATGCTTCCGAACTTTTAAGCACCTTCTTTGTAACAAAGACACTGACAGGACTTAGTTCTAAATTATGACTTATAAGAACCAGCTAACAGGTAGGGTAGTAGAAAGTCTACCACTGTCCTGAGCTGCAGAACACTTTGTAACCATCACTTCCCTCACGCTGATTTCCATCTTCTTAGAGTATTATTTTATAAATAGCTATGGTAAGGGAACAGTCAGGTCTACTACGGAAATCACACTGGACATGCATTTCAGTGAGTCTTTGTTAATAAGCCACAGACTGGTTCAAGGTGCTTTGTTAGGATGCCCTTGACTAGTCTAACTACTTGTTTTGTGGTTTTACCTGATCTGCAGCAATAGTTAATTGAAGTTCACAAGACAAGTGCACACTTACATTTTTTTCACAAAACCTTAACTAAATAAGTTCAGGTGTGTCTTCTGGCACAATGTTTTTGTACCAACAGAAGTCAGCCTTAGTTTTTAAAGTGGAAGGTGAAAGCCTAAAATAGAATCAAACTGATGCTATTTTAACAGAGCAGGCAGCTCTGGCTAAGGTCTTGCAAGGTTGTCCTTGCAATCACAAGACTGGAACAGTTATTATACTCCTAGAAGAGGACAAATCAAGGGCATATAGACTCTTTCAGAGGCAAGCATCCAGCCCCAAAACTCTGCAGCCAGTAGAGCAGCAACAAATGCATCACATCCAACAGTAAGGATACTGCAGTATGTGTATACATCTATTTCTGAAGTGACTCTATTCTAAACTAGTTTCCAAGAACTTTAAGAATTACATTCAATCCATTGACAAAGAAAACATTGTACTAATGTTTCCAGAACTGTGGACAACAACTTTTGGATTTACTCACTCAGTTTCCGAGTGTCAGCTTTCTGTATAAGTGTCTGGACACCACAAGAGCTGATCAATACCTTATATTGATAGTACAGTTCATTCCAAAAAGGCTATAGTGGGGAAGATGTATTTTTCAAAGATTTCTGCACATATTTTCCTCATACTGACAATGAGGATATTAATAGACCAGAAATCATTCAGCAAATACAGGTGAATTGTCACTATTTGTTTCCCCCGCACTGCCATCCCCTGAGTGGAAGGGGTACGACCCTTCTGCAGAAGAGTTAAGATTGTTCAGTTCTCAGAGCACAAAGACAAGCAGACATTGGGTCCTTCAGCTTCTAGCACAGACCAGAGAGGATGGGCTTTTTTAAAGTTCTTATGTTCTCATGTTTACAAATTTACTAATGAGAACTGAAGATTAGCTAATTCTAGTTATATTACTGATGCTAATTCTTCTGAAGTTCATTTCAATTAAAAGAGAGCTTACATAACAAAAGTGCTCAGGGTTTACAAGGAATGAACTATCTAGTTCAGAGCCCTCTACATTAACAGTCACTACATTTGCATTACTGCTGAGTCATCACGAAGAGACATTTCAGAAGTGCCCCAGAAGACTGCACTCTCCATGCTTATTTTTCTATTACTAGATTTTTGGGACTCTTTAGGACTCCTTATGCATAACTTGGGCTTCCACCACAAGAAAAGGAAGCTTGTCTAGAATAGCCTATATGTCTTCTCTCTCAAAAGAGGAGGAAAGCTGTTTTACTGGATGTTTTTCAGAAGATGTTGGTTTAAATCAACAGGATAAGAAGTAAGAAGATGCTGTTGCCTACTATTAGTGGCTTAGATAATACAACTCTAGTGACAGCTTCCATTTTTAGGATCTTTAGAAAAAATGCAACTTCAAGTTCACAATATATAGAGCTACCAAGCTTTCATATGCTAATCAGCTAATTTTAAATTAACATTACTGCTGCATTTGACAAGAAGCAGGAAAAGTCTACCTACAGCTTACGTTTTTACTGTGTTCTTTTTAAAGCATTAAAACATGGTTAGGGGAAATTTGTATTTATATGATTTACAGTCATTCAAATCACTATTAATCATCACTTGAGAAAAGCCAGATGTGATACTGGCAAAACAATTAATTATTAATGACAGTTTTAAAAGCAATTTTTCTTGTTTCCTTGTGCAAGATCCAAAGGCAACCCATAACATAATGCAATTCTAATGCCAGATATATCCACCTGAGAAAAGCAGCATGCATTCATTACGCTTGTTCTCATTTTTTCAAGTTGTGAAGGTGAAGCTGCTTATTCCAATAGATGTCTGCAAGCTTTGATTGCCCCAAGCTATAATAACGAAGCACTTAATTCCATCACTTTGAGTAACTTCTACTGAGAGTCGAGCAATTCAAAGCACAACAGTGGTATTCCAAACAATACTTCAAATTATTTCCCACAAACAAGCAGTGATTAGATGCTGATTTTTTGAACAGACACCACAGACTCAGAGCTTTGAGAAAACTTCTTCTCTATGTGCAAAGAAAGAAGGGAATTTTCCTCAGGATAGAGTCCTGTAGCCTGGGGAATCAATCATCTTCAGGAAGAAATACAAAGAGTTAACTCTCCATTTCTTCTATGGAGAACACAGACAGACTTTTATTGACAGTTATCTAAATTTTCCACTCAACATAAAGCCAACACTAGGAGACACTTGTCTCCTAGTAAGCAATAAACGATGCTGAAAGGCCACACCAGATGGAGCAACTGACTTGTTTGAAGACTAGATGAAATACATCCGAAAAGGTTTTTTTTCAAAAACCTTCTCAGTCTTTGGTGAGGAAAGAGATCCTTCCACTAACTGTGGTGGCATTACGAAGTAGCTGTTATCTCTTCTTGATTTTTGTTTTTCTAATTATGAAGCACACCACTGTTCTAATGGCCATTTATTTACTTGACATGAATCCTGCTACAATTAAATAAATATTAACATTAACATGTATCTATCAAGCTTACATAATATCCTGAAGACTTTCAATAGGAATCACAGAAGCCTGCTCTCTCTTCATTTCACAGAAGCCTGAAAATGCCATCTTCATTTTGCTTCAAGGATGTTCTCTTCCATCTCATATTTTACTCATCTTTTTGCCTCACTGTTTCTGTGGATCTTGATTTTGTGAATGCCAAACAAACACTCTACTTAGAATCATAGAATGGTTTGGGTTGGAAGGGACCTTAAAGATCATCTAGCTCCAACCCCCTGCCACAGGCCAGGTCACCTTTCACCAGATAGGTTGCTCAAAGCCCCATCCAGCCTGGCTTTGAACACTTCCAGGGATGGGGAGTCCACAATTTCTTTGGGCAACTTGTTCCAGTGCCTCACTACCCTCACAGTAAACAATTTCTTCCTAATATCTAATAAAAGTCTATCCTCCTTAAGCTTAAGGCCTTACTGAGCCTTTATATTATAATCCCCTCTTCCATGCAGGCTTACACCATCTCCTGCTCCTTTAACCAAGGCTCCATTTCTCAGATAAACAGATGCCCTCGTACATGCTTGCTCAACATCAAACACTGGTTGCAATAGATGTAGGTAAAACAGTAAGCAATAGCTATAGCAAAAGGTTGCTCAACCACCTTTATTAGAAGCACCCATTTTCATTTCTTTAGTTTTGTCAAACAGCCTGTCAGCCAGAGACTACTCGAGACTCCTCCTGTACAGTGGTTCAACCAGATTTAAGTGTGCTGCAATTGTTCTTTAAGACAGGCTTGTGATTTCAGTTCAAGGTGCCATACTCCTTACAACGGCATGCAAGGCGAAGCTCGACAAAAGTAGTGAGCTGTGTGGGAGGCGACTTAAGCCGCGTTCCCATGACACTGGGGCTTTAACAAGCCTCTGAAAGGCAGCAGCAACTTATACATACTCGGACATCTAAATAAGCGGTCTTCAGACTGCACCTGTGACCAAACTCGCTTCTGCCCACGGCAGACCCCGGCTCTTTGTGCCCCTGTCCCGGACAGCGGTCACACTGTCCCGGCCCCGGGCTCCCACGCCAAGTAGGGCGGCAGCTCCGCACCGCCGGGGCCGCCTGCTGTCACCGCCGGCATAGGGAAGGTCACGGAGGGGCGCAGCTGCCGCGGCAGCTTCAAACTGCGCCGCGTCGCTTCAAGGTCAAGCCCGGTTTTCCAGGGACGGGGCGGGACACCTTCGGGCCGGGCTGCTGCTGCCTCCTCCCGGCGCCCAGCCGGCGAGGGCGAGCCCCGCGGAGGTCAAATGGCGCCCTGAGGCTGCGGGGGGCTGGGGAGGTCGAGGAAGGGACGCTGGTTGCTGCCGCCGGGGCGGGGCAGAGCAGGGCGACGGGCGCAGAGACGACAACCCCCCGCGCCGCGCTCACCTCATCAGGTAGTCCCTGAACTCCTTGCTGCGCACATAGTCCACTGCCTTACGGCCCAGCGCCCCCGCCATGGCGCCCTCGGCACGGCGCTCCCGCCCGGCCCGGCCGCCTCTCCCCGCGCTGTCGCCGCCGCCGGTGACAAGTGCCCCGTGCACCGCCCGCCCCCCGCTTTACGGCAGCGCGCGCCACCACACCCCCCCGTCACCGCGGCGCTCTCACCGCCCATTGGCTGCGGCGGCCCCGCCCCCCGCGCGCGCCCGGCCCGGGCAGAGAGATGGTGGTGGGCAGGGGGAAAGACAGCGTGCCGTAAAGCAGCGCTGCGGCAGGAGGGGGAAGCCGTCGCACAGTGCGCCCAGGACGGGTCTCCGTGGGCCGCGCCGCCGGCATTCCTCCGCATCCCGCAGGGAACGGTCGCGCGGCGGCTTCCCGGGCCACCATTGGCTGCGGGGCCGCGGCAGATGTCTGCCTATTGGCGCGCCCCGCCCCTCGCGGCATGTGGCTCCGCCCCCGCATTGGCGCGTGTCAGGGGCGTGGGGGAAATAGGGGAGTGCGGGAATGGGGGCGCGGCATGGGCAGGGGCTGCCCGGGGAGTGGTGGAGTGTCCCTCTCTGGAGACATTCAAAACCCACCTGGACACGTTCCTGTGTCACCTGCTCCGGGTGACCCTGCCTTAGTAGGGGGCTGGACTAGGTGATCTCCAGAGTCACTTCCAACCTTCCTTCATTGCTCATTCTGAGCAATTCCTTCATTCTGTGATAATTTCTTCCGTGATTTTACGTGTAATGGTCTAAGATTCCTTCCCTCACCAGCACTTTCTATTTCATACCTGAGCAGAGGTTGCTTACATAGAAGTGAAGATAAACTCTAACCCTGCTAATACTATCTCCATAAAATTTGGGCCATACAAATAAATACCTTTATGTGCATTACTTCTTTTATCTTTGACCGGTGCACTAGAGATAGTGAAAATGGATGTTTATCTCCTCTGCTTTCCAAAGGCTTGCACCCTCAGTTTCTGCAGTCTAGAACTGGGTTGAGAGTGCAGCCTGGGGCATGCCTAAGCTCTGTGAGAAGCCCTGGAGGCCATGGCTGCTTCATTTCCTTCTGCTTCCCTCTTCCCTGCAGGATCTCTAGTTAAAAAAACCCAAACCAATAACAACAACAACAACAAAAACCAAACCCCCACCCAAACCAAAACCCCACCCAAACCAAAATCACCCACCAAAAAAAATGAGAAAAAAAATGTTCTTCATCCTTCTCCTCCCGTTGCTTGCTCAGAGAACAGTAGGTTTTAGGAAAAGCATTTTCCTTTTTCTATATATATGATATGACATGCATATGACATGACACCCCAAAACCACCCCTGGCTTTGCTGAGTGTGAGGAAGAGTTTTAATCCCAAAGCCAAAATGTAGCCCAACATATTTCTGTGGACTATTTAGACTCCTATTCAAAAGCAGCAATGTGAATCTGAATGAGGTCTCAAAGAATCATTTATTCTAGTTGATCCGACGTGCGATGACAGAAGGAAGGTCTATGGAAATCAGTTCTGTATGTTTGAACAAAAATCTCATGTGGTGGAATTCCACATATCCTATATGTCCAGGCTCAGTTGTTAATATTACAGCTAGTGTTATAGCATACATTTTTAGCCTTGCAGAATAAAGCTAAAAATGTAGTCTTATTCTCCTTCACTGAAAATTTGTAAATTTTTTTTCTTAACTCTATGTATGAAGCAAAAAAAAAAAAAAGTCTGTTTGCATTGGAAGTAGTTGTTCTTTAGTCTTTCTTCCTGGAGTAAACAAATTCTTTCAGCCTTTTTCCAGAGGCTGTGCCTTTAAAGTCTTTTAACCTTTTGCCCACTCCATTTGTATTTACAGCTTTCTTAAGGCATAGCCAAGGGTCAGCATGTCTCAGTCAAAGCCTCACCAGCAGTGCAGTACGCTTCTCCAATTTTGAAAGTATCCCACTTTTTAAAGTAGTTAATGGAAAAATCATTAACTAGAGACGTGCCCAGAAGGAAGCAGTCCCACATGACAGGTTCTACCAGTTACACAACAAAAACAGCTAGCAAGGATTCAAAGTTTGCTTTCGTTCTGTATGTATTTACAGTGCTTTTATTTCCATACTGGTTTTTAGGTTTCTTATAAGGACGTCAAAGTCCATACAGAAGACTCCCTTAATTTGTCTTATTCATAGCTTTTCTTTTACTCCCTTTAGCCTGTTCAATAGAGAAAATAAATTTGATTGGAGGTAAGTGAGATTAGCTCGGTTAGATCTTGGTCAAGGTCAAGGGTTCAATCCCTGTATGGGCCGTTCACTTAAGCATTGGACTTTATGATCCTTATGAGTGCCTTCCAACTCAGAATATTCTGTCATTCTGAGTTGCTCTTTGCAAGTCCAGGTATACTTTTAAGCATGTTCTTCCCTGAGTGAACATTAACTGGTAGCTTAATAAATTATTCTAGCTGGGTTTTTTTTGCATATGAGAATTAGGCCATTTGACTCATAGTTTGCTGGGTTGCTTTTAACCCCTTCTCTTCAGACATGTGTTCTTCTCCACTGCAAGACTGCCCTGTCTTCTCCATGAGCTGAAGGAAAATCACTGATCTTGTCGAATTGCTTCTGTGATGGCCTGGTGGACCTCTGAGCAAGTTTCATTAGGTTCTGCCACACATTTTTTTATAAAATATATTTCAGTAGTTCCTTTCTTGGTCTGAACTATGCTTCTATCTATTTTTTTTCACACTGAATTTCACACCTGTTTTGAGTTATTATTACCATACTTCTGCCTTTACCTGCCTGTCATGGACTCTTTCTGCATTATTTAATGACTGCAATTTCCTTTGTCTTATTTTAATTTGTGCTTGTAAATAAGACAAGCCATGTATGTCTGAGGATGTCTTTTATGTTTCTTCTAATCAGAACAGGTATTTGTAGCTAGCTGGTTTGTTTTCAAACAGACCCGCTGTAATCTTTTATCCCTTAGACTATCTTCACAAATACCCTACCTGCCATTTCCTGGAATTTCTCCTGGAATCCTCATTGCTTTAATTTGTTTCCTGTTAGCCTTGTACTTCTGACCTCTGCAAAGAGATACTTCTGAAGTTTATAAGGCTGTCCAGTTATTCTCCTTATTTTCCGTCAGCCTTTGGACAGGTCACCACGTTTTCAACTCACTCACTGACTTCTGTTACTGTCTGTCGTTACCTTAAACTCTTCCTCGCTAGATTTCCAAGCTGGCATGCTTGAATTCCCTTTCTTGTTTTTAGCAGATAGATGGTAAAGTTGTCCAGCAGTTACTCTATGGCTCCTTCATTATTGGCTCCACAAGTTTTCAGTGCTAGTGCACCTAATGCTGATGTTTTTTAAGGTAGCCAGAGCCATGTGAGCCTAAATAATATTTGTTAGTATCTTAGATTTTGTCTCTGTGAGGAGGTGAGGTGTTGGATGACTGGTCTGCTTAGCAAATGAATACTGTGTTTCCTTTAGAAGACAGTTTCCATATCCCATAATCCCCATTTTTGGGAGTGGTGGGGTAGGGGTGACAGGGGCAACCACCTAGCTACAGGGAAAATATGCCCAGTCCTGTTATCCCAGAACTGCACCTCAGGAATCAGCACTTCTTGACCTCAACACATGCAGATCTAGCTGCTGAGTAAAGCAGTCTGCAATATTTCTCCATTTCAGGCGTCTCTTGTCTTCCTCTTGAAATGCCTTTGCAGGCACATGCATGGTAGCATATCCTTGTATGTAGACGAGTGTACTACCTGCCTGGCAATAAAATCAGGAAAATAAAATATGCTATGGACGCTGCAGAGCAATCTATTAGTTCTATGCAGTAGTTAAGCTTCTGACAATAAAGTCAGTCCTAAAGGATGTATCTGATACAACTCTTAACAAACATCTGCAGGGGAAAATCATGGTGCCTTTTCCCAGCCGTGAAAAGAATTGCAAGAAAATATTATTTGGAGTGTTTCTTGACAAACAAGGGAACAACCATTAAACAAGTTGTTCAAGAAACTCTGACTTCAGGACTGAAGTAGTTAATATTTCTTTGCTACAGGAGCTCCGAAGTTGCAGAAAAATATGAAGAAAAGATATATTGCTTGGACAGTTTTCCTAGACCTTGTAATGAAATACCTGTTCATTAAAGTGGACACAAATCACCTAGTAGGTGGATAAGAAGATTGACTAGAGCAGTTGACTATGACATTTTATCCGCCTGCAATCTCAAATTGAGCCAAGCGAGAGCACAGCTTGATGTAACACTTGCATTTGTCTTTGCAACCCTGATTATAGATACATTATCCCTACATGCTGGCATGGTGCTTGAGCAGTTTTATTCCGTGTGGAGCATACAGCAGTAACAAAGTAGATTGAACAGCTGAGAATGCCAACTTGGGAGGCTGTCAATGAATAACATATGTAAAATGCATGGTCAGCCCTGATATGTTTGTGAAGGCATCCTACTAGAAATATGACTTTAGTATTAGTCTAAAGAAAACTAAAATAAATGCTTAACAACTAAATAACTTGAGAAGAAGCTGTACTTCTTTTCAGAAAACATTTTCTGAAATGCAGAAATAGTTTACTCAGTGCTGAAAAATACAGCTTCCAGCAGGTAACAGTTCCCACACTGACCGACTGTGGAGCTGGCACACTGTCACACAAGATCAGCTTCTATCATTTGAGAGATTGATAGTTTCTATGTAAAACCTTATCAATTGGGATAAATTATTGTATTATAGAGCTAGAGGCATTTCATCATCTGCAGTTCTCAGTAGGATCTGGAGTAGGATCAAACATCAAAGTAAAACATTATTTCAAGCTGAGGACCTGCAAATAAGACAATGGTGTAATTACAAAACCACAAGAAAAAGACAGCCCCTCCTCTATGAAAGGCCAAAGGAACACTATAAGGTAGGTATTGTAATGGACAGAGTTAAGAAATAGATGCAGAATGCATCTGGAAAAAATTTGGATTGCCAAGATGTAAATATTAGCAAATTAGCTGCTATTGTGACTAACAATCCTTGTAGGCAAGCCAGGCAACAGCTGGGCAGCAGGAACTGAAGCAAGTGCTACCTATAAAAAAGAAAAATGAAAGTATTTTGTCAGGAGAGAAGACAAGCATTTCAGGCAATTGCTGCAATTATCACTGCTTTTCCCTGCCTTACATGCAAAAAGACCTATCTGTCATGATTAGATTATGGTTGGGTGGGTCTGAACACTTGAAACTTTTATTAGCATAGTTAT